AAAAGCAACTAAGGATGAATGATTCTGATGCAGCCTCTTGGCTTTTAGTGAGGAAATCTTGCAGAGCTCAGCTAACATCTTAAAGCTGTTCTTCTTATCACATTAAGTCAAATATTGACACATAATCCCTACTCTATTCACAGAGACAAATAAACACAATAATAACAATAGAAACTGTAGCTGTAACTAATTCATATGTTGTTGCTTCTCATCCAGTCCTTTGAAATAAATACTTCCATTTTTTCTTGTAGAGTTCTTCAACTGAGAAAATTGATTCAGTTGTGTAGTAAGCTAACTACAAAACTGATGCCAATCTGTGTTTTAAAGCATGAACAGATACAGTGTATTTCCATTTGTGCACCGTGCAAATCACTGAAAGTGCAGTTTGGGTTTTTTATCACTGTAACAGTTCTTTTGGTTTCAGTAGGACTGATACTTGGGCTTTTTTTCTTTTCTTCCCTTCCACCTTATGGAGGAAAAGAGTAATTAAGTGCCTCTAGTTAATGGAAAAGTACATTCTCAGTTGGTTGTTCGATTACTATGACATGCTTCAGTTTGAACTCGAGAAATCTTAAGACAGTCTAACGTAGCAGGTTGCTCCCATGCATCACCTCCTGCTGGCTGCAATGTGTTGGAGGGCCAAGCTACTGACTATGCAGTGGCTGTTGGATTGCACAGGTTGTTATGGGGAGGCAATACTGGGACAAAAACTGCATGTTCCACCTTGATGCCAAACTGTAGCTCTAGTTTTTTTGGCTGACAGTTGTTCTTTGCCTAAAACAATGCACCATCCATAGGAAAATTTATTTTTGCTGTGATGCACTCTGGGGAGCGGTGCTGGGAATCTGCTTGTGCAGGTGCTGCAGCTGCAGTAGATATCTGATCAGCATCACAGATAACAGTATTTGCTGACACCAGATTTCCAAGATAAATTTGGTTCTGCATTGAGCAGTGTTTGGTTCTTTTGGGTTGTGTTGGGTTTACTGAGGCCATGTCAGATCACGTTTTGTCTACTGTTCAAACATGCTGATGAAGGAACAAGTCTGGAGGGGACCTGAGTCAGACTGGTATTAGCTGCTGCAGCAACTATTACTATTGATTTGGGAGTGTTTCTGAGATAAGTACTTTGGTTGATGTGCTGAAAATCCTTGGGTTGGCGTCAATGCCACGAACGTCCATGCTGCCTTGGAAGAAGTTTAATATACAAATCCCTGGCCCCTTCTCCCTACCCAGCACTTATTACCTGCACCTCACCAAAACTGTACCATGATACTGAGACATCTAGAACCAAGAAGTGATCTAAGCGTTTTTGTCACTCGAGATATTCCACATGATTTTATGAATAGTGTGGAGTATCTTCTGTTTGTGAGCTCTCCAATATTTCCTGTTGCAGTACAGCAGAAACTAAGAGTTGTTCTAGTAGGCACATCATGGCAGTATGGCTCAAAGTGTGAGCATAGCTCTGTTCCTGAACAGAATCAGCAAAACACTAGACTAAGTTGCAGTATTTAGATGTTCATTCTGAGTGCTGGTTTTTGGAGGCAGAGTGGATGTGGATCTTTTGCCTGACTCTGTCTGAATTTGCAGTGGTAAACAGAAATTCTAATTTCTCTTTAAGATGAACATCAAATTTGATGTAAAGACTGGGAAAGAATAAGCATGGAAACAGAAGGTGCTGGTTATATGAAATAATTCTTTAGAGTTTAATTATATCAGGGTTGGGGACTTGTTATAATTAAACAAGCAAACATAAAAGGCAGAAAACTGTTTGGTTTTCCAGTGCGTGCTGTGCTGAGAGCGAAAAGGTCCTCAGCCCACAAAACCAGCAGGGAAATTAAATGATTAATAGTGAAAGCTTAGATCATCCACTTTAAGCATGATTGATAGGTAGTGTTCCTGGCAAATGTCTGGAATTCTGGGAGCTGGGAATGAGAAATGCAAAGTACTGACAAAATGGCCATCTGCATTTCTCTGGCTTTTTAATCTTTTTTCAAGGTGGTGTGTATAACTTGGAGTTATGTAAAAAAGGAGGTTTTTGACTCGGGTTCTCTAATGATGCCTTAGACTTTGCCAAACACATTCTGATGAGTTTAAGTGTTAACCTTGCTCTTCTTTCCAATTGCTGGTGTTCTTGATAGAACAGTTTCTTTCTTCTATTCTCTTTTTTCTAAGTGCTTGTTCTTACCTTATGGAGAACGTGTAAGCAGAAGGACATTAAGTATGCATCATTTAAAAAATGGACTTTATAGAAGTAAAGCAGTGTGATGCTTGTATGTCTGCCTTTTTTTTGGAAATTTGACCGTTATATGGGATTGGTTTTATCTAGAGCTCTAGCAATTAATTTCAAGGAAATTGTTGTTAATTGAAAATAGTGCAGCGTCTTGCTTTAGCTTGCTTTATTTCATAAAATGTGAGGCACCTGTGATCTGACTCAGTTTTTGATCCATGCATTACTTGTAAGCATGCATCCAGCAGACGTACCTCTCCTGTGTGCTTCTTGCCACAAGTGGGAACCACCTGGCAGTGCCCTCATTGCAGAGCAGAGTTCTGGGAGAGCTGCAAATAGCAGGAGGAAACTGGAGCTGCTGGCACAGGTGAAGGGCATGACTGTCTTCATACATTATGTGGGAAGCAGTTAAATTTGTGAAAAGATAAAACCTAACTAACTTGTTCATTGTGTTTCGTTTCCTATGTACACAGAGCAACACAATGTTTGTAGTTGCGTTGTATTAATTAGATTTCATGTTGCTGTTGGGCGGTAGAATAATTATTGTGTCTTTTTACGATACAAAACCTTCTCTGGAGAGATTAAGAAGTAGCCCTAGATACAAGCTGGAATTTCTCTCCTTTATGCTTGGACTATCTGTTCTGACTGTTGCTCATCAGTGACAGCACATTTCTATACTTGACAGTTTTCAGTGTTAATTAGAAACAGTTGTTTAGCTGATTGCCTGGAAGATTCCAAGTAAAAACATATTTATTCCAAAGGCAAACAATCAATTTTTACTAATGAAACGTATTAATTTTTATGGCGCATAAAAGTCTTTTCATTTCAATTTTGTATATTGTGCGTTTGCCTGTCTAAATGCTTTAAGGATGATGTACTATTTTGACTGTGTGGAAGCTATTTTTGTAGGCCATTTTTAAGTCATCTACTGAAAAAAGCGTGTGCTTAAATAATTGAAAACATGAAAAGTCAGTGCCATTAAAAATGAAAAGTTACTTACTGCAGTTACCTGTTGGGCAACCACCATGTTCCATGATATGCAACCTTTGTAGTACTGCTAGATGTTGATGCTGCCCTGTGTAAAGCGACAGCAGTAGAAAGGATGTGATTGTGGTGCTTTTGCCTAACTCTTTGGGGAAAAACACGTTTACAGATGGCTTCAGTGTCTGTATGCATTTGAAGCTGAAAGGCAGTCTACACTGTTATCAAGCATTCAGGGAAAAACTGGTCCCTGGCAGGTGGAATACACAGGCATCTGTGGAGGCTTTAGGAGCACATCACTGTGAAGCCTTGCTTATTGTGCTACGATGTAGTGTGTCATCAGGCTGAGATAACTTACCCTCAAAGAGAAAATACTTGGTGTCTAATGGAAGAGATTGTGTAAAGGTTGGATGTAGAGCTCAAGGGCTGGCATGAATGTTCTGGGTCAAATTTAGACTTTTATGTGTGACTACTTATTTGGGGAAAAAAACCTAAAAAGGCCTTGGTGAAATCAATAAACTAATATATATCTTGATGCTTTGGCTTTAAGAATGACCACAGGCAAATGATTACTTGTGAAACAAGTGAATAACCGATCCTAGCACAACTTTGTAGACATTATGGATGTATTTCCTTTGTTGCTTTGTCTTAGAAGAGATTTGCATTGGTGATATAACACAGTGGAGATTGAAGAGAAAAATATCATTCAAAACGAGAACAGTGTTGTTACTCGTTATCAAGAGAACATCTGAATGTTCTTACTTTGTTAGCATTGCATGTTGGCAAGCAGAAAAACAAAACAAACCAAAAAAAGCAACCATTACTCTGGAAAGCACCTGGTAATTTTCTCCTAGACACCCCCCTTTGTGCTCAGCCTGAGTCAGGATGACCAGTGAAATCCACCCTGGGGACTGCTCTTTGGGCAGATTTTGGAATACCTGCCATGTGTTGTAGTGCCCAGATGAGTGCAGATATTCTTATTCCTCAGGATTTCTTTGGTTGTCCCCAGGCTAATAAAGATGGGTATGTAGGAACGTTTGTGAGGTTATAAGGAACGGTGTATTTTCCGTCTTCCTGTAAATAACAATATGAATGTTCTTGTCAGTATTGTCTTGATAGTAACTCACTTGTACTCTTCTTCTCAACAAAACTGTTGTCTTCAACTTATGCTGTATTATATGGGGACACAACACAAACAGCTACTGGAAGATTTTTTTTGTTGAGACTCTTACCAGTTGGAAAGCACTAGTGCCATCAGATCTGCTCTTTCATGCTGTTGTAAAGGTGAACCTTTCTACTGATGATCTCACAAAACAGGCCCCACTTTAATAGTGATGTATAGCAACGTTTTGTTACAGCCTATAACTGCACTGAGTTTATTGACACAACAGTGGGTGTTAGCCAGATTAAGAAAACTCAACAACTTTAAGAAACACATCAGTTACAAGAAGATAGGGAAAATGGATTTCCTCTCAGTTAAACTCTTAAAAAGAAATAGGAAGATAATATGAACCAAGACTGAAGTGTTTTCTTTGACTGTAAGAGAAGAATCTTTATTGACAGTTAAAGGGGAATTGTTCCATGGAAACACTTTTTGATTGTGATTTATTTTTACAAAATTTTCTCGGCTGTTATAATTAACAGAAAAAAGGTTATCAATGGGATATTTAAAAGAGCTTGTTTTCCAGCCAGAATGGAAGAACTGTGACTTCATAAGTGAGATGTATGCTCTTTAATATTTTTGGCAGAAATAGCACTGTTATTGAAAGCAACGCTGCTTCTTTTTTTCTAGGCAAAGGAGATGTTTTTGGTGATGTCTTCTGGAAGGAGTCCACCCTTGCCCAGTCCTGTGCAAATGTAAGGGCTTTGACCTACTGTGATCTTCATGTGATTAAGAGAGATGCCTTGCAGAAAGTGCTGGAGTTCTATACAGCTTTTTCACACTCCTTCTCCAGAAATCTCATTTTGACTTACAACTTGAGAAAAAGAGTAAGTAGCTTTGATTTAACATACTGTATAAATGTTCACTTCTAAGGTCTGTCTGTATGAAAACCCAAATTGGCTTGAATTGTGACATTCTTCATCACCTCCCTTGGAAGATGTTTTTTCAGACCTTGCCTAAAAGATGTGGCTAGCATATAGAGTCAAAAGGCCATATGCGTTTATTCCAGTGCTTTAGAGAGATCTGGATTATGTACATGTGAAAGTCTCGTATTTCTCTGAAGCGAACAGATTTAAGCATAATTGCAATCTGTTATGCGCTTTTAATGAAACAGAGTTAACTACTTTATTTTGTAAAGCAGCTAAAAAGACATTAGGTGTGTTGCCTGAAGTACAAGGAAGATGGAAGAGAAGGTATGAAATCTAATTATGTAGAATAAAAGTCAACTGCGATCACAATGGGAAAGTAATATGAACTTGGGCAATTCTATCAAGATTTATATCCCTTAGTAACAATCAGATTTTGGAATTACTTTGCCTAATTAATGCTTCCATTTTCTTATCCTTGATGCTTTCTCTGTCTTAATTTCTTCCTGTGCGGTGTTTCAAAGTATTTTGTCCAACATGAATCATCATAACCTAATATTCCTTTTTAAATTCTTTGAATTTTAATTCTTCAATGAACCATTGCTGTAGAAATTGACCATAGTAGGTGTAATTCAAGTCACTATGATATTATGATGCTGCAAGAAGGCAACAATATTACACTGAAAATAAGTTGGATCAGGTCTACTTGCTTTAAAAGAATATTATTATATAAGGATACTTGAAATTAGCTGAAGAAATATGTTTGGTAGGAGATTTTTTGTTCCTAAAAACTTTCTTCATGGTAATTTCGGGGTGCCAACTAAGTCCTAGATAATTATACCTGAAAAATTAGAAATAGTTTTGTCTTAGAAGTCTGTTGTGAAAAGTTAGCCTTCAAGTCTAGAGTATTATTATTTTTTAACCTAGAATTAACCCATTGAAATTAAAATAGTGTGATAATGTTTTTCTTTTAGTCTGTGTATGTTAGCAGTTTCAGAGAATTTAGCTTTTCAGTATTGAGCACCACAGCTTTGGTGATGTATGTATATAAAACTAAGAAGCAAATTCATAATGGCAGACTTCCCCACAGAGTGCTTTGTCAAATGGTCTGAGTTCCTACAGGACAAGGAAAATACATATAGCTGGAAGGAGACTGAGGCATACATCCTGATTAAAACCCAGCTATTCACCTGGTTTTAATAATGTGAGGAATAAAAGGAATTAGTATTGAGTCCTTTGGAGCATCTGCATCACTGACTCTGGCATGATTTAAAATAGCACTATGGGTACTTACTGTAAGGTGGTCTAGGAGCGTGTATCTTTTCTTTTTTTCAGCATCAGTAAAAATCAGAGTAAAAATTTTCAGCGTAGAAGGACCAACTTCCTTGATGCACACAGCAAGGCTGGCAGAGGCATATGATTTTGGCTTTGCCTTGAGCCAGAAGTTCCAATTTTAGAATTGAATGCCTGCTCCAGAAGTGATGTTCTTTCCCTCCATGTTCATTAGTGTAGCCTTTCCCAGTCCATCTTACAAATCACTTTTAAACCACAGTATTGTAGCTCCTGTGCAGTCAGTTTTCTTCACAAAATGTTCCTAGTTAAAAGGTACATCTTATGACAGCAGTTTCCATCCAGTTATTCAAATAATTGGATTTTAATTGAGTTGCAGTCAGCAGAAAAGTGGCAGTGATTGATAGTGGAAGTGAGAGTTTGATGGTTCTAGGTTAGCAGACTGTGAAGTTAATTCTTTTATTGAAAGAAGACCGACTGCAATCAGAATGCAAATGTTAAGTAAATAGTGTATGCTTTTGGAAATGCAGAGAAGGTATGGTACTTTAGAGGCTGGAGAAAATGCACATGAAAAGGCAGCTTTTTAGAGTTTGGAATTTAATCTGGTTTAAATGTGAATTTTGTATAGAAATAGCTCCCTGGCTTGTTGCTTCTAGCACTCCTCCTGGTCTATTTCTGAAAATGGAATTTTGCAGAATTCAGATGAACTGGTATCTTTGCGAATTACGTTTGTGATGTACTGCATATCCTTCAGGATATAAATATCAGAATTACCCTTTTCATTTCAATAAACAGTTTCATCTCTGACTCCAAAAGTGTTGAGCTAGCTTGAGGTTATATTCTATGTATTCACAGAATCACAGAATGGCCAGGGTTGGAAGGCACCTCAAGGATCATGAATCTCCAACCCCCCTGCCACATGCAGGGCCACCAACCTCTAAATGTATTCATACCGATGCCAAACAAATGGAAAAGCTACTTGGTTGTGTTTTGTTTTTTTTTCTTTTTTCTCTGTATGATCTCCTAGGTGTATTTTTCTCTGAGGAATCCCCATCTTCAGGGTGCAATATGCCTTAACTTGGCCATGGTGCTGTCTCGTTGCATATGGCAGGGTGCTTTTTACCCAGGTTTTGCCTAGCTTTAGTAACCTTTAGTGCTGTTTTGCCATGTTCGTGTCTTCTCCTTGCCTGAGGGTCTCCCCCTCAGGAGATGGGTCACTCCGACCTAGAGCAGTGCCAGGGGAGCAGTGTCCCCCACAGGTCCTGGGCTCTGGATCTGATTGCTAATGACTGTGATAGAAAGATGCAGCTATGCAGGTATTTAAAGTATCAAAACCAATTGGTCCTGACCTTAGCTCACTCTAGCGCCGGATTTAGTCAAGGTAAAAAGCCTTTTCCAGGCTCTCCCTCCATTCCTTTTTGCTGCTTTCCCTGTTGATCTTGAGCATGTTTCCACCTGCATGCCCCACTTACTCCCTGCTAGCTATTGTTGCCTGTCAGGTCCGAGGATTGCCTGGCTGAGGGAGACACCTCCGGTGCCCTGTCCCTGCTAGGCTATGGCTGTCCTTGTGCCAGGAAGTTTCCTTTCACTCAGCATCTCAGCAGACACCAGTGGAATATCCTCCTTACTGAAACTGTCAGTCTGCTGTCAGGTGACTCCCTGAGCAGTTTCCTCAGGCGTCTGAAATCCCTCACAAAGTTATTAGCTGTCTGGTTACCTCTGTCTGGAACTCAGACTTAGGAAGCTTATTTTTCCTAAAGGAGAAGAGAAAGGAGACCTTTAATTAACTCCTTCCGCTACTAGTCATTGAAATTTTGATGTAAGTGGAAGCAGGGGGAGAGGCAGCTGCTACTTCTCTGGCTCCAGCATCTTAAGAGACTGAAACTGCAGTCCATAGCTGCAGGTGGCTGTGTCAGCCTCAAGGGTTTTGCAGCTGAAAGGAAGCTGACAGCAAATTTCTCAGTGTGTGTCTTACTCTAAGAATGCTGTGAAATTAAAGCAGGTTAATGTTTTTCTCTCTTTTTGGAATTTCAGACTGGAACCATAGTGTAGATAGTGAGGACAAGTGACGAAATCATCCTTTTGGAAGCTGTGTGAGGCAAAAAATAAGTGTTATAGATTCAGAGGGCAGCAGGCTGAGTGGAGGTCTATTTTTCCTCTACAAATACTTATACGCTTCTGGATTTCCATCTTGGTCTTCATAGCTCCTGGTTAGAAGAACCGTAAGAAGCTTGCATGATAGCTGCTTTTTGTCTTTTGCTTGGGATGAGGAGCCTTCTGTAAAAAAAAAAAAAAAAAAAAAAAAAAAAGTGAAGGGTCCTAGACAGCATTTGTAAGTGTTTGGGTATTAGCAGATGTTTCTTTTCACGTGTAGGAGCTTTGCGACCAATATTTACTCTTACTGGGTAGCACCACAGTGTATTTGCTCAGTTCATTCTGCTGCAGCCATAAATGATGTTATAGCTCAAATGATCCTGCGTGCTACATAAAAGAGAGAATTGTTATACATAATTGATTAAGCTGAGATTTCTCCAGTAAGCTATTTTAGCCTGGATAGAGATTAAATGACTAATTTTGAATACTTTGGAGCATCATGATCGAAGGCAACCTGAAGTTAAAATTTGTGTCCTGGAATCAAAGAGTGGGATGTAGGTACGTTATTTGGGATTTTGTAAGACTGAAAGGAATGTCAAAGAGCACTGCGTTTTTACAAAGCAAACATAATTCAGCGATTTGAAACCAGAGCTCCTGCTCAGAAGTTATGTCTTGAGACAGCAGTGATTGCAACAGTGTAGTCTGTCTCTGTGTTGATGTAAGGTTGCTTCTGTACATTTAGTGGTGTGCATATTCCGTGCAATCCCAACTGTGCCAGTGGAAGGGATTCCCACCATCTCTTTCTACAAGCAATTTAAAAAATACAGCTGCTCTTTTCAGCATTAGCTTCATCTTTCTTCCCTTTAATAATGTAAGCTCTAACTTGAGAGAAGATCTCTCTTAGGTCAGGCGTTTCAGCAAGGAATGCTTGAAGCCTTCATTTTAAATCTCTCAGGGACTGGCAGCGAGTTGTTTTCAAAGCCACAATCCGTGGCCTTGTATTTCGTCTTTTCACATGACAAGTTTTCCAATTTTTTTTCATGACAAAGATACAAAATTGGTATCTCAGAGTTCTTCCTGATATAGAAGACTGAGCTGCTGGAATATTTTAACAAAAATCTCTTAAAATAAGTGAAAGGTTTTAATTTAAATTTAATTTTAGAATATTGGATCATTTGTTGATGGATTTCAGAATTATCAAACTGACAGGTTGCTTCTTTCTATTTTCTTTGTATTCACTGAAACAGTTGCACAAAGCCCTTTGGGAAGAGCGTCTTGATTCTTCACTTGATTCTTTCAGGGCATTTCATAGCCCTGAAAACCCAGGACACTGAACATGACTGAAATGTTTGCATGGATCTATGAATTGGGTGGAGTGCTAGATTTGATGAGAAGAAAGAGAATGTAGCTATTTTCCCAGGAATAAAATCTTTAGTACTCAACTCTGTTCTTTCTCATAGAAATATGAATATGAGGTATTCAGCCCAGAGAACTCCATTACCTTTCAGATATATCACCTTAAGGTTTAGTTTTCAAAGCTTTTGTAATCTTAATTTATTTCTGTTAATTTAAGTCTG